ATACAAATGTAAGAGCTATAGTGACGAAATCCGGCTTGAGGGGGAGGGGTTTGGGGTAAGATAACCCTCACTTAACCCCAGTTCTCCCTCGCGCTACCCTGGAAAGAAATCTTCATCTGCCCTTGTCGTGTAGTGGTAAAGTTGAAAAGTAGAGTTGAAATTGAAATTGGAGTTGAAGGGGAAGGGTATTAGCAGATCTGAAATGAGTAAGAGTAAGGTGAGTGGTAGGAGGAAGTTTCAATAACATACGAATGGCTCTGTTCTAAATCTTCTGAACTTTAGATATGAGGTAGATTTTGATCCCCAAACTGAGCAACAATAGTCAAGGCGAGAGAGAAACAAAGAATTGTAAAGTATTTGAAGGGTAGAATCATTAGTAAATTGTGAGGTTCGTGCAAGAAGATAGACAATAGAGTTAAGTTTCCTACAAAGAGAAGATATGTGAGACTTCCATGTTAGAGTGTTATCAATAATTACGCCTAAGTGTTTGTGGGACGTAACGGATAGAATTGGATGGTTATCAAGATGAAGATTAAGATTGTTATTAGCGGATTTTAGTTTGTGCGGAGAACCAAGTAGCATAGATTTAGTTTTTTGAATGTTAAGAGTTAACTTTTTAGATTTTAACCATGAAGATAGAAGATGAAGGGTAGAGTTTAGTTTTTGTTCAATGAGTTTAACAGAAGTATTGTTGTAATAAATTATTGTATCATCAGCATACATATCGATATGAACATTAGGATCAGAGTTAGTAAGTGTTAAAGGCAGGTCGTTAATGTAAATAGTGAACAAGAGGGGGCCTAATGTTGATCCCTGAGGGACACTATTAGAGCAAGGACTAGGAGAAGATAATGAGTGATTGAAAAGAACATGCTGAGATCTAGAAGAAAGGTAACTTTGTAACCAGGTGATTGTTAGAGGAGAGAAACCAAAATATGGTAATTTAGCAATTAGTGTATTATGTTCAACAGTGTCGAAAGCTTTTTTAAGGTCGATGAATAGAGTGCCAGTAAGATTTTTATTGTTAGTTTCATGAAGCCATGAATCAAGGGTAGTAGTCAGTGCAGTAAGAGTTGAGTGTTTAGGTCTGAATCCAGATTGAAAATGAGAAATAAGTTTGTTAGAATCAAGGTAGGTATATATTTGTGAAGCTACTGCTTTCTTAATAATTTTGGAGCATAAGGAAGAATAGATATAGGTCGATAGTTATTAAGATCATTTTTCTTGCCAGATTTGAAAATAGGAATAATTTTAGCCCTTTTCCATGAAGAGTGAAAGCAACAAGTTTTCAAAGAAAGGTTGAAAATGAATGTTAGATGTGGTGAAATTATAGGAGCAGCAATTTTAAGGAGTCTTCCATCGATATTGTAAGACCAGATGATTTGTTGGGATTGACTTTCCGCAACTCTGTGAGAACAAATTCCTCATCTATGTATTCAAGGGAAAAGCGAGCAGAACAAGGACTAAGAAAATATGTTGGATCAGGAACAGAAGAGGAGTTAATTTGAGATGAAAGATTGTAGGCGATATTAGCAAAGAAAGAATTGAAAGAATTAGCAATAGATTGTGAATCAGAAATATCAGTGCCATTGATAGAAAAAGAATGAGGAAGACAAATATATTTTTTAGAGGGAAGAAGATCCTTAAGACCACTCCAAATTTTCTTAGTGTTGCCTTTACAATCATTAAGGTGAGACTTGTAGTATTGTGCCTTAGCATCCCTACAGGTTTTAGTAACCAGGTTCCTAATCTTCCTATAGTTGTCAAAGTCCGTAGTGTTTTTAGTCTTATAAGCTTTAGTTTTCAAAATGTCTCTTTGATGAAATAAATTAAAAATATCAGTTCTGTTCTGTACCCACTTAGGTAAGTCTTTCTTAAAACGTCTGGTTACATATGGAGCAAACTTATCACAGACATTGGTGAAAATACAGTTCCAGGAATTAAGTGCAGCATCAACATCAGAATAATTGTAGACACTCTGCCAATTTTGTTGCTCAAGCTCGTCAAGAAACTTTTCCTCCTGGAAATGTTTAAATGATCGAAATGTTTTTGAGTAGTGATTTATTTTAGTGATTTTTGCAGACAGACAAGTATATATGATATCATGGTCGCTTATACCACACGGATAAACACAGCAATATTTATGTATGTGTTCGCAGCTCGTAAGTATGAGATCAATTGTTGATTCTGAAGTACTTGTAATCCTTGTAGCTGAAGTGATGAGTTGAGATAAGGAAAAAATATCCATTAGATCTTTCAGGTGATTATAATCATTGGACACTGTTTGTACATTGATATTGAAGTCTCCTAAGGCTACAACATTAGGTGAAATATCAGTCCAAAAGTTGAGGCATTTTTCAAGGTCAGTAAAGAAGCGAATTTTGGCACTTGGTGGTCGGTAAATTGAGGTAATGAATATTGTTCCATTAGGTTGTTTGACAAGTATAGATACACATTCGACATCCACACTGTCAGGTTCTTTAATTTCATCGTACACAATATTTTGCAGGATATACATAGCTGTACCACCTCCAAACCCGGCGCTCGTTTTGATAACTAAATCTCCATTACAATGGCCGTATTCGGCTGGTCGTTCTTCGTTAAACCACGCCCACCTCCGCAGTGGTAAAATCCTACTGAACGAAGACGACCAGTCGAATAGAAAACTGGTAAATACTCTACAAAACAAAATAGCTGCATAGTTACCGCGATGCACCGCTGCTTAATCAAGGTTGCTTCGGCTTGTAGTTTTTCGTAAAAAAATGTTTTCATTCTGCAGTTTTTGAATTCTGTTATGCCGGGCACTCACCGCGTCGTACGAGTGTCGCACGACGAATCCAACTCCGCTCCCTGTGAGCGATAGACAACGCAACTTTGTCTGCTGATTGTTGGTACGTAGCAGTCTGAACGGATCGTCAATTAAAAACGATCTGTTGCGCGCGCGTCGTCGCGTTGCATTCCCCACAGCATCGCCTCGGCGCGGCCGACGACCGTCGTGCGCAGGGAGTGCCCGGCTTAAGGCCTGTATATACTTCAACGATAACGATTACGATAAAAAAGTTTCTCACTAGAACGATTCGATAAAGATTTATCAGTTATAAGATAACAACATATTTTGACAAATAAAATCAGATGACGTCATAATCATGGGAAAACATTAAAATCGTAGTAGTAGCAACGATGTTATCGTTTTTAAATGATTATGACGTCATCTGATTTGATTTGTTAAAATATTTTGTTATCGTATACACGATAAATCGTTATCGAATCATCCTAGTGTAAAAACTTTTATTTCTTTTGTTTTCTATATGAACAATCGCTTTTTAGCTTTTTTTTATCGTTATCGTTATCGTTGAAGTATAAACAGGCCTTTAAGCCTACAATTATTTGACTTCATGATGTGGGTAAATATTATAATTTTCTGAAATTTAGTCTAAATTGTTTTATCTATGTCTTTCTTAGGTTGTTGCCAATCAAAATGAATGATTTGAACGTCAGCGACGACGTCACAGAAGACTCTTACCATGTGACGACATTGGAAGTGATCCTCATCATACCAGATATACTGGTATTCATCATTGGTATAATTGGAAACGGTACTTTGTGTCTTATTATTTTTGCCAACCAATCAATGCGTACAAGACACAATACACTAATATGTAATTTAGCGGTTGGTGATCTCATTTTCCTTCTATTCAACGTCCCGATTAAAATCATTCACACGTTCAACCCCACTATCTTCGACAGTGTCGCTTCTTGTAAAATGGCAAGCATATGTTCAGTGATAACAATCGCAGTATCATCGCTCTCAATTGCTGCATTGAGTGCAGAACGATATTTTGCATCGGCAACCGCCAGAAACACAACGATGACTGTATTAAAATTGAAAAAAATCGTGGTACCAACTATCTGGATTTGCGCTATCATCTGCTCAATACCAGTTTTAGTTCTCGCTAAAATTATGGATCATGGAGGAAAAACATATTGCCAATATATGCCCGTTGAAACATCATATGCGATTGCATACGAGGTTATGATTGGAATTGCACTCATAATTATCCCCCTGATTATCACTGTTGCGTTTTACTTATCCATGGCTAGGAAACTGGTTCGAGACTACAGTGAAATGTCGGCTGGAGGTTCAAGCAGTCGTGAGGAAAATAGTGTTCATCATGATTCGGTGTCCCGACAGAGACGGGAAAGAGGACGACAGAGCTTAGCTGCCACAGTTATTGCGATCGCAGTCATTTTTGGGATTTGTTGGTTACCAATAACATTCTTCAATATATTAATTAAAGTTGCTCTCCACAATGAGATGTGGTATATTTTGGACTGGCCTGGCTTACACGCATTGGGACAGGTTCTTGGTATATTTTCTCATATGAACTCCTGTGTTAACCCAATCGTTCTGTACATACGTAGTCGCACGTACCACACATATTTTAACAAATATTTGTGTTACTGTTGTACAAATGCGAGACGATACATGAAACCTCCAGTCAGCACGTAACGTAACGCGTGTCATTAAGATAGTCTTGATTGGAAAAACAATATATCTTTTTGATTTTTTTAAAAAAATATAATATTTTCAGGGACAACTTATATAGGACTCAAGTTACATGCGTTCCAATGTAATGTTCAAAATAGTTACCGGTACTTTGTATATAGAAAACTGTATATGCATGTGGAGATGTACTTGAATATTTAAACTAAATGGTGTATTCGTGTATGTCGTATGTTGCTGATCAGTACAGCCATTTATGCTAATCAGAATGTGATTGCCCTTACACCAGTTTTCAAATAAAAACAAAACTTAATTATATATATATACATATATATATATATATATTTATATATAATTGTTGTATTATACTTCAATCAAAATGTAAATCTGAATTCAATAGGTTTTCCAATATTACGTAAAAATAGTGTGTGAGGACGAGGGTATGAATTGTGTTTAATTATAGTAGTGTTTTTGACTAGGGAAGGCACTCTACTCTTTATACAAAACTTCAGATACGGTTTTGTAGTTCTTAATGGCATTGGTTTTCTTCTTTTGTTGACTTGGCAAGTTGTTTCAAGGTGAGCTTCCCTAATTATTTGCTGTTGACCCTACTTTTTTAGTTTAGTTTTTTATTGCTGAACTTTCTGATGGAATTAAAATATTATGTTGTATGCTGACGATACTATGTCGTTCTGATCTCCAATTGAAGAAATCTTCAGTATATTATTTACCGTATCTATGAATAGAGTGGGAAATGGAGAATGATTCTTAACCCTGGAAAAGTTATAGAATTACTCGTTTTTCAAGAGTTAAATCAGTAAAATGTACCGGTATTCGATTAATGAAGAGCAAGCAGAATTTGCATTCTAAATTAAATAAAAATTAAAAGCTCAATTTATTTTCTGTTAGATGGAGTTTAATTTTTTTAAAGCTATATCCTTGGTATACCTATCCTATATCTTCTTCTTCTTCGTGTACCATAGCATATTATGCCGTAGGCGTTCATGGATTGTCTGTCAGTGTCTGTCCTGTCTTTTTCCATCTCTTTCTATCTCTCGCAATATTCCCAAGCTCTACATCATTCTTCACATTCAGCTTTTCTTTCATCCAATCAAGCATCTTCATCCTTTGCCTTCCTCTCGCCCTTTTCCCCTTCAATTCCATCTCGATGATATGTCTTTCAATTTTTTCTGTGTTTTCTGCATTGTATACAAAATAACATCCTATATACTAATCATTAATAGTAGCTATCATAATATCAACTGATGTAACAATATTTATCAACTGATTAGTAAACATATTGTATTATAATCAATGCTCAACACTGATCACCTTAATATTTATTCACTCTTTTTGCTAAAATAAAAGTTTTTAAGACATTCCTGAGGTTTTAGGACATTTGACATTATTCTGTCTGAAACAATAGATCTCCAAATTTTTGCACATATTCTAATCTCTAATAAATAGGCCAATAACATTTTTATTTTATATGAATACCTTTTTGAGTAGTATATATAAGAAATGTATAATATATTTTTATATGTTTTTTTATAATGGTGTTCGGTCGCAGTGTTCTAGGAGATCAAGTTAGAAAGTGATTTAGTTAGAATCTAAAAAGTGATTTAGAAGGAAGCTTCTTATCTTCAATGCTGTAAATTTTTCCGTCTTGTGCTGTTCTATCTGTTCTATTGTACTATTTATTGAGAAGAAAATAAAATAAATGAAAATGACTAGTCTTTTATTGCTTGCGAAATATCTTTAAATTTTTCAATAAGGCTTGAGGAATATTTAATTACTGTTATTAGGCCTATCTATAATAAGAATTATGAATCCACTATTTTATTGTCACTTATTCAACTAGGCAGTAATTAATATTAACAATTTTCATTATGACAATAATTAGGCCTATTTATTGCGTTTATCTAAATAATTAATCAATAGTACATGTCTGTTCAAAAATTACTGTGCAAATTGATCAGATTTATGCATAGCATCATCCATTAGCATCGGATATTGCATTAATAGTGAGATACATAGAACACTTTAATTCTGAAAATATTTGTGCTGGGCGAAACAAATATTGATGGTAATGCGTCATTTTAAGCGAACGCGTCAACCTCTAATGTATAAACGTGTCCATTGTATGAAACAAAGGCAATTATTTAATTATTACACTTCAATATAGTATGATCTCGCATGTGCAGCAACAGTGGTTTTTAGAATATAGTTCTGCGGTGTAGTGCCTTTAAGTAAATGAGATTTCAGTTTGAAAAAAAAAAAAACCCATAAAGAACAATTATTCTATATCTCGGTATACAAATGTAATACCTACTATATATATAGGTATAAACGAAAAGAGAAAAGTCTGACCCCAGAAGTTACGGTCCTATCAGCCTGCTTCTCATCATTACCAAGATATCTGAAGCAGTTGAATTATATATAAATAATTGTGTTAAATACTAAATTTACACTTGGCGCATCATAGTTGTTATGTGAAGTCATTGTCAACCATCTTCGAGGCAACAAACTTCTAAATGATGTTCACTCTGATCATCCAGACCACGAAAAACTCTACACAGGAAACATCAGCTGATATCCTTGTTTTTGACGGAACGGCTTCGATAGAGGAGACTCGACACTTGTTACTCTGGATATATGAAAGGCTTTTGATAAAGTTTGGCATTGAAGACTTTTAAATAAATTTAAGACTTATGTTTTGCTGAAAGTCTCTTTTAACTCATTTATTTCTGATAGGCATTCAAGTTATGTTAGATGGTCAAACTTCAAAGGTGCACGATATCAATCCAGGCTCAAGGTACTCTGCTTGATCACAGCATTATTTACATTATGACTTACATGTCAATGTTATTATACATTTTAATCTATGCTGATGACAAAATTCTTAGCACACAACCCACTACACTATGCACACATTCTTAACTCGACTTGGAAAACGTTGTGGATGAGATCTTCCTGGCAAATCAACCCCTTTTGCTTACCGGGCGTACCATCAGTCGATCAAAAAATTGTGAAATTCCATCATTGAAATGGCTTTCTCTCAGCTGGATGAGCTTTCTTGCATCAGATTGCTAGGGCTTAACATCTTTCTAGCCATCTTTTTTTTAATTTTTTATCTAGCCTTGTGTATACGACAGAAATAGCTCATTAGCACACTTTAAGCCGACGCCTCTATAGAGAACGCAACGCGACGACGCGCATCCAAGAAATCGCTTTTAACGACGATCTGTCAGACTGCCACCGACAATTAACAGACGGCGTTGCGTCGTCTAGCCCTCACATGTAGAGGAGCTGGATTCGTCGGCCGACGGTCGTGCGACCGTCGTACAACACAGTGACTACACTGCTACTAACGCATCAATGCTACAACGACGACACGTCAGATATAGCATAAGCCTCTAGCGAACAAAACCCATAAAATTCATCACGCCAATTTGAATGTTTGTGAATATTTATTTAAAATTAATTGTGGCAAATAAACCACCTCGTCTCTGTTGTTTGATTGAATATATATATATATATATATGCATAGGCAAACAAGATATTTTTGGGTCTGCGCAAGGTGCTGACCCCAGAGCCGCACTGCTGTTCTTGTTCTTGTTACCCAAACTTTAAAAGCGTCCAGCGTCGCCAGTTTTGACCGGACGTGCAGAAAATTTAGAACATCATAAACTAGAGGTGATTTCCAACAAACTTTCATCGCCCTTTTTTGAAATTGGACCTCAGGGTTCCCCCTACCCCTACAAAACACAAGAGGGGTTTCAGCAAGGACTGTATATTACTGCCATTACCATCAATTGGGCAGTGACGTTGCATGGATGGCGCGGTCGGTTAAGGATGTGTTCTAAAGTACTTAAAATTCTATTTTATTAGCTCTTCCAAAAACACTCAATATAATAACTTGCGCCTGTAGGCCTACCGTATTTAAGCGTCAAGGAACGCGCGGATCAGTACAATACAAGAGCGGTCGCTCTTGTATTACATAAAAAAACAAACAAACAAACAAAAAACTCCTGTGAGATGGTAATATGTTGCTGGAATTGTTATTAAATCAATGATCTTATTTCGTGACAAACTACTGTATATATTCTTTGTTTGTAAATGCCACGTCAAAAGCACACTACCGGTACACATCGTGGCCCAGAGGCCGGTTGCGTGTATATACATTTTTTATAGATTATAAGTACAGAGGATCATAGTATCAAAAGTTACGAACATGGCGCCACTCATGCAAATCTGTAATTAGCTCACATTGAACACATCTAGGCTACACATTATCGATTTTATCTTCACAATTTGTCACACGATGCATGCTACTTCAGTAATTCATAAAGTGCCATTAACAACATACAGGTCATTTACATTAGATCATAGAGCAAAGAAACAGTTTCCTTGCTCTGATTAAGATTCACCAATGACCACTCTCTGACTAAAATCGATTTTCATGATGTCAACGATAGCTCCATGATGGGGATGAACCAATTACCAAGCGTCCAGAAAACATAGGCCTACCTCAACTGCAAGGGGGACGATTCTGTCAATTAAAACTACATATAGCTTAGCCAATCGGGCCAATAATGTCACGTAATATTTAATTCAATTCAAGCTATCGTGCCTACTCCCCTAGGTATCGATATTTTCCATACATTTTGTTTTCTTCATATTCATCTTTAAAACAGTCAAGCATAAAATTTTCCAAATCTATTTTTCCTGATGGTCTTTTTAGTTGGTGGTAATTTGCAGATAAGGAATTTAGCAAACATCATACATAAAAGAATTGTTTTTATGATTATTATTCCGTCATGAGATCGATCTACTATTGTTTATAATCTAAATTACTTACTAATAATAAGTTTTACTATCTCCTTATATAAACCTACTATTGATACACCCTCATCTTAAGCGCTTTAAACGACAAAACGGGATCTCCGAAATCATACTTTTAAATTATATTATGGTACATTCTGGTAGTGCTCTAAAACTTTATTGTATAGAGCGCTTTAAAAATGCTTGTCATTATTACATAATAAGATATTCATGGTGCTTGTTTTTAGTATTATTTCATATGCCTATTCAATGGGCCTATAATACTGTATACAAGTATCTTCATCACAATGCAACTTGCCTTAGCGCCTTCAAATCGTGTTAGCCAAAACCAATCGTTTTAAGCATTTTATTTGTACCAAACTCTATGTAAAAACCGTTTTATTTTAGTTAGAGGCTTTAGCCTAGCGGTCATGTTTAAGTGTTATGTACACCTCTCCTTGATGCTTTTTAACCAAACTGTCTGGAGTTAACCATCCATTATTCATATTTGCAAAAGCACTCCAAGTTTTGGTTAAGCCTAGTACACACTGGGTGGTACGACCGTCGGCCGACAAATCCATCTCTGCTGTGGTGTGAAACCTGGTTTCCATAAAAATCGCTACACGTTATCGCCGACTCCTTTGGCTGATTGGTCAGTTGAATCAAGGAGTGTTCCAGATTGAGTCGGGGGAACAGATGCGTAGTGCAAGGATGCAGTGAAAACGCTGTAGCGATTGTGTAGCGATTCTATGAAAACCGGGCCTTAGCGATTTCCGACGCGACGCCCGCCTGCGATTTTTTTTTTTCGTGAAGAGCCAAGCATAGGGAGACATAAAATGCTCTGATTGGCTAATGATAAGATGACATAATCGCACTTTTGTTTGACAGTCGCTAGATATCTCGCACACTCGTCGGAGCAATGCGGCTGCGATACACGCCAACAAAACAATCCATGCACATACAACGCGCCGAGTAAGCCTGATTTTTATGGGTCAAACAGATTACAGTATTGGGAACAACATTTAGTAGGCTACCATAGTCACCGCTAATCATACAACTCTAATACCCACTGCTACCAATAGGCCTAGAAAACACTGTAGTAGGGCCTACTATGAGTACAAACGAGGTCGTTTGCATAGAGGGCCTTATAGTAGGCCTAGAGTTAGTAGACTTTTAGGCAAGATATGTTATACTGTACCTTGTTTAAATAGCGATTTCGAATAGTTAACGCACCCTCCCCGACAAAAAATAGAAATTTTAGAAAAATATAAAAGTGTTTCACTCACCTGAAATATCCACAAATTAGTTAAATTTAATGCATTTATAAATCTCATATATTACAACACTTGTTTCAATT